CCAGGAGTTGGAGGTTGCTGTGAGCTGTGATGCCATGACACTCTACCCAGGGGGATAGCTTGAGGCTCTGTCTAAAAAAAAAAAAAAAAAAAAAAGATAATTATGTCATGGTATTTTCCTTAAAGAAATGAGTTGTCTAGTTGAAGAGGCAGGTATAAAATAGTGATTACAGTTCAGTATCATGAAAGCATTTATAGAAAGGTAATTGGGATACTTAGAAAATACCTGAAGGTGAGATGGTTTTCATATAAAGGAGTTGGGTATAGGTGGCCTGTAAAGATTAATCACATGTATTTCTTTTTTTTGCTTGTTTGTTTTTGTTTTTGAGACAGTGTTTCACTATATGGCCCTCGATAGAGTGCTATGGCATCACAACTCACAGCAACATCAAACTCTTGGGCTTAAGTGATTCTCTTGCATCAGCCTCCCAAGTAGCTGGGACTACAGGCGCCGCCACAACAACCAGCTGTTTTTTTGTTGTAGTTGTCATTTAGCAGGCCTGGTCCGGGTTAGAATCCTGGTGTACATGGCTGGCGCTCTAGCCACTGAGCTACAGGCACTGAGCCAATCATATGTATTGCTTATGTGGAACTTGTTTACGTCTAATAGGATAAAATAATTACAATAAAAGTCGTAGAGATAAAATGATCAGAAGGAGGAAAATTTACTTGAACTTAGAGTATCAGGAAAGTCCTCAGGAAATGACAATGCAGAGATGAAGTACATAATAATAAAGTTTTAGGGTGGCGCCTGTGGCTCAAAGGAGTAGGGCACTGGCCCCATATACTGGAGGTGGTGGATTCAAGCTGGGCCCTGGCAAAAAACTGCAAAAAATAATAATAAAGTTTCATAAAAACCCATGTAACCTGGCTGGGTGACTGTAGCTCAATGGTTAGGGCAACAACCACGTGCTCCAGGGCTGGTGGGTTTGAACCTGGCCTGTGCCTGCTAAACAACAACAAAATAGCCAGGTGTTGTGGCGAGTGCCTATAGTCCCAGCTACTAGGGAGGCTGAGGCAAGAGAATTACTTGAGCCCAAGAGTTTGAGGTTTCTGTGAGCTATGATGCCATGGCACTCTACCAAGGGTGACAAAATGAGACTGTCTTAATAAAAAAAAAAAAAAAATACCTCTCAAAATAATAGATTTGCCTCACCTTTCAGAGTAACATTAAAAAATGATGTGGCTCAAGCAGCTAAGGTGCCAGCCACATACACCTAAGCTAGCCAGTTCTAGTCCAGCCTAGGCCTGCCAAACAACAATGATGGCTGCAACCAAAAAATAGCCAGGTGTTGTGGCGGGCACCTATAGTCCCAGCTACTTGGGAGGCAGAGGCAGGAGAATCACTTGAGCCCAGGAGCTGAAGGTTGCTGTGAGCTGTGATGACACAGCACTCTATTCAGGGTGACAGCTAGAGGCTCTGTCTCAAAAAAAAAAAAAAAGTTCTCAGTGATAGTTCAAACCGTTTAAGAACTTGAGGTGCAGTAGTCGATGAGGAAAAGTATGTGCCAAATTGTGCATGTTAGGCCAGCAGATTCCAGATAGTCCGCCACCCCATACCTACCATTCTGGAACCCATGCTTTTTTTTTTGGACACAGACTGACTGTGTCCCTCTACGTAGAGTGTCCCAGCAACTTCAAACTTTTGGCCTTAAGTGATTGTCTTGCTTCAGCCTCCCAAGTAGCTG